CAGGGGCAGTAATGAACAGAGCGCGGAGGCGAGACGAGGTGTGCACGGCGCAGGTATCCGATGCCTGGGCTCCTGGGGGCGCTCGGTGTGGGGCTGGCTGGCCGCCTCCACGAGACGTCTTGCTCTGATGTCCCCTTTGTTCTCCCCGTTAGTGAACCTCAGGAGCCTGGGCATTGAGATCCAGGCGCGTGGACAGGCTCTTTCTGAATCTGCCGTGTTTTGAAGTAACTCCAGCGGGCAGCTAAGGGAGCCCTCCAGTTCTCACTGAGCTGTTCAGAACGCCTCTCTCCGCAGGTTCTCAGACATCCATTCATGCCTGCCTCTGTCCACCAGGGTCCCTGAGGCTCTGAGATGGAAGGCGAGGGGCCTGATCTGACAGCGTTTCCTGCTCAGCTGCCCGGGCTTCAATTTCTGCCAGAACCAAGCATCACATTTTACCTTTGTCCTCTTTCCTGTGGAAACCCCTCCCCAGTCCACCCTGGAAAGCATCAGGGTCTGCAAGACAAGAACCTGAGTTTCCAGCTCCCCTCCCACTGGGCCTTTCTCCTGCCCATCCGCCCGTTTGCCCCAATGCTCCTGATGCCAACGTGGGCCCCGCCCTCCTGGCTGTGGTCCCCTGCCTTCTCCCCGCAGACTGTGCCCCTTCTGTCTCAGAGGATGCTGGCAGCACTCTCCCTGGGACCCTAAGTCTGAGCAGAGTTCTCGTCCCTGTGACAGAGAAGCGCAGGCACCGTCATCTCTGTCTGTCTGTCTGTCTCCATTTCTCTCTCCGCCTATCTCCTTCTCTCTGGTCTGGGTTTTGTTTGGGGTTCTGGTCTGGCTTCTGGCCTGGCTGTTGGAAGGATGGGACGCCTGTGCCCTGAGGGGCGGAGGAATACCCACGGCCCAGCCTGTCAGGTGATCTTTCCATGATGCCAAGACACCGAGCTGAGTGAGCCTCATCGGCGGGAAAGTAGGGCAGCCGGGGTGCTGGGACGGTCCATCTGCATGTCACTGTACTGCAGAGGACCGTGCAAGATGGAACGTGGAGGGCAGCTTCGTTGCATAGGAACAGGGCTGTGCACATGCTCACAGGTGTCCTGGTCCCTCAGCCTGTGCCGGGAGCCCCCTTCTGAGTTGGTGCCTCCTCCATCGCAGCCTCTGTGGGCCCAGGAGATCGAAGCCTCCTTGGCTTCTGTTTCCAGCATCGCTTTTAAGTCTTAAATCCCAAATATGTGTTTGTCATATTCATTTATTTATTTGTTTATTTATTTATTTATTATTTATTTTTATTAATATCTTTATTGATTAAGGTATCACATATTTGTCCTCAACCCCCCATTTCAATCCCTCACCACCCCCCACTCATGCCCCCACCCCCCTATTATCCCTGACCACTGGTTAGGCTCATATGTGTGCACATAAGTCCTTTGGTTGATCTCTCCCCACCCTCCCTTTGAGATCCAACCATCTGACCCATGGCTCCTTATCTCTGGGTCTGTTCTTGTTCATCAGTCTATGTTGTTCACTATTTCCCCTAGAGGAGTGAGATCATGTCCTACTGGAAATATACTTGTAAGAATCAAAAATGAGACAAGCAATAATCGATATGCTGAAAGGTATATGAATCAGTCTATAGTGAGTTCCTTTCTGGGCCACCAGTTCTTTTGAGACCCAATTTTTTTTTTTTTAATCAATCTTTATTGTTCATATTGTTACAAAGATTCCTCATTTCTTTCCCCCTCCACCAGGTTCCCACCCCACCCTCCGCCCCCCCCCCCATCCCCCATTGTCCTCATCCATGGGTGCAGTTTATGTTCAGTCTCTTCCTCCCTCCCTTTCCCCGATAGTAAATCCCTTTTCATATAGTAAATCAGTTACTTAGCATTTTCTCATATCAATAATACCACCACATGCCCAATGATACATTTCACACAAAAGACATTTCCAAATAGGTCAACCAGCCTCATCCAGGCCCCACCCAAGGCACTCACAGATCAACACCCCAGCCCCTATACTAACTCAACACATCCAGATCTAAGCCTTCATCACTTGATTCAGCAGACCCTCGTTCCCACAAAAGTTTTCAGCCATGTCTGAGAGGCAGCCGTGGGGTAGGGGCAGGTGAGGAGCGAGCTGTTCTGGGCCTGGCTGCTCCAGACCTGGGCTCTGTTGCTCTGGTTCATTCCACAACCAGCTGCTCCGGGTCTGGTCACCGCCGCTCCCGACATAGCTGCCCTGGACCTGGCTGCCGCTGCTCCGGGCCTGGCTGCACCCAACCCGGCTGCTCCGGGCCTGGCCGCTCCCAGCCTGGCAGCCGCTGCTTGAGACCCAATTTCAATGTCAAACAGTTCCTTATGTGTACATGTCAGCCATGATATTTCAGTTCTGGATGGTGGACAAATGGTAGTAATGCAGGTCCAACCCTCTCTGGTTTGGTCCTGGGCAACCTGCAGTGACACACAGAAAACAGGCTTCTAATGTTAGAGAAGGGAGCCCCAAGTTGGGTCTCATACCTTCTCCACCACCAACCCCCCATGGGTCCCACATGTAGGACCCTTCAGCATGTCACACATATGCACTCCTGTCTTTCCTGGTGCCCCTCTCCGAGGCCTGGGTCATCTGCCTCTGAGGCCAAGGGGCTCATTTAACTCAACAGTGTCCCTGTTTAGCATCAGGGCTCCCGGCCAGAACCACTGTTCCAGTCTGGTGGCTGTACGAGAGGAGACCACAGTCTGTCCCCTACTCCACCCGCCTTTTCCCTTGAAGGGGCCGGATGCCCCCCCAGCTGCCACACCCGTGTCTGATCCTGGCTTCCTGTCCATGGGCAACCCAGCCTGTGACATTCCTGCAGCGATTGTTATTATTTGTGCCCCAGTGTGAACCTCAACCCCAAGGGCCAGCGCCAGGTGACGTCAGAGGGAGAGCAGAGCCTCTCAGAGTCCCAGAGCAAGGCTGTGTGGGGGCTGTCCTGACCCATGTGCAGGCTGCTCTTGGCCTCCAAGTGGCCATGGCATCTCAGCAATGCGCCTGCATCCTCAGGCAGCTCCTGGCTTACGGGAGACCAGCTGGGGAACAGCCTTGAACATTGAGAAGAAACAGCTTATAAGAGGGTTTGCTCAGAGGTGACCCTGCTCCAGATCGGTACCAAGAGGAGGCTGGTAATGAGCAGACATCTGGAGGGTCTGGCACCTAATGCTCCCTCAGTAATGTCAGGCAGGTCCCCTGTGGCCCAGGTCCCAGAGCCCATGGCCAAACAGAGCTCCATCCTAATTCAGAATCTGCTGCAGTTCGAACTTGACCTTGTAGAGGAGGGGTTTCTGGTATCCTCCAGGCCTTCCGTCTATCTGTCCACTGAGGGGCAGATGCAGTCCTTTGGGGTCCCTTTCCTCTCCCACCCATGGGCCTCCTTTAACTCCCATCGGCAGGTGTTTGCTGACTGGGCGTCTTGGACCTCCCAGTGGCCGGCATCTGGCTCATTTGCAGCTCTGAGCCAGTCTTCCAGATGCCTTCCACTTGTCCCTCTGCCACTTCCCCGCAGGGACAACTGCCTCAGCCCTCCCCAGGCACGGCCACTCTCTGTAATGAGCCGCATCGCAGGGCTACGAGCTTCCTAACTTCGTTTCCGCTTCTCTCAGCCTAACTAAACAAGGCCCTGGGGACTCCCACCTAAGTCAAGGTGGCATCTGGTGACAGTTTGGGTGTTCAGGTGTCTTATCTGTGGGAGATGGGACTCTCCAGACTGTAGCTGAGGCTCAAATAAACATACAGGTTTGGGGTCCAGGGAGCATCCAGCCTCGGGCTGTGGGGGAGTAGGATCTGGTGGGATGCCCCACACCCCTTTCTCACTGGGCCCCTTAAACTTCATGTGGGAGCTAAAATATTGCATTTGCATGGCCCCGTTCTGCAAGCATTTCTCAGGAACTGTGAAGTGTTTCTGAATTAGGAGTCTTTGAAGACAAATCCAGTCTCTTCTGTTTTATTATTCATCACACACATGAACAGTTCACTCAGAAAGAACTCATGTGCCTCTGTTTGGGATGTGCAGACATTTTTTTTTGTCTTCTAACAAAGCTCTTGGATGGAGACTTGGCAGAAATTCCAAAGCAATTTGATGTGGCTACAAATAATATGCTTTTAATTATCCATTAATATAGTAGCAAAATAATTTATGAATAAATCCTATATGAATAATTTATATTTGTACAACATAAATAAGAATCACAAATGAAATCTATACTAATACAAGGGTAATATGCAAATTGGTTGGGATGCCCTCATGCAACAACTGAACAGCAGGCTGCATGGGGCGACCAGGTTGGCAGAGGGGGCAGTGACGGGTGATCAGGCAGACAGGCAGAGGCCGTTAGGGATGATCAGGTAGGCAGGCCGGTGAGCAGTCAGCAGCCAACGGTCCTAGATTATGAGAGGGTACAGGCTTGGCTGAGGGGACACCCCCCCTCCCCCATGCACAAATTTTGTGCACTGGGCCTCTAGTAAATTAATAACTTGTTTAACCATTGTGGGGGCAGAAGCAGTGTGACCAGTGGGCTGACCCTGGACAGAAGCAGTGTGGGAGCATGGATAAGTCCCTGGTACACCCTGGACACTCACTTCCTCATTCTGAAAGGGGAAGGGCGGACACCTCATGCCCTAGATCAGCGGTTGCCAACCTTTCAGACCTCATGGACCACCAATGGTCTTCGGGCCACCAGTTGGTGACTACTGCCCTAGATAGTATGTGTGGGAGTGCTTTGTACAGTCTAAAGTAGCGGTCCCCAACCGGTGGTCCATGAGGTCCAAAAGGTTGGCGACCGCTGGCCTAAAGCATCACACACTTACTGGTAGCTGTCATTAACATAACCCATGAAATGCAATTGAGGAAGTAGACAGAGGCGTGAGGAATCTTGCTTTTGGCCTTGGAACCAAGGTCAAATGTTCTGTGTGTTTACCTGTATGGCACCTGGGCTAAAACCAACGAGCCCTGTGACAGAGAGTGAGTGTGCTCTGCTTTTCTGCAGGATACAAGACCCTGCTGAAAGGAATTTCTGGGAAATTCAACAGTGGGCAGCTGGTGGCCATCATGGGTCCTTCCGGGGCTGGGAAGTCCACGCTCATGAACATTCTGGCCGGATACAGGTGAGCACACCCTGCCCAGGAGAATGAGATCCCCGCCGTGTGTGGCCTGCGGCGGCATATGAGCAGGGAAGCCACCTCAGCCCATCCCATCCCTCCTGAAGGTTCTATACAGGCTCCAGCGAAGCCTGTGCTGATGCCCCAGAAGGCCTCAGGCAGTAGAGATGGGCAAGGTGAGGGATGGAGGGAGTGTGGCTGGTGGGACTGTGTCCCTTCCATTTCCAAAGTACACACGGGTGCCCACTTTGCCCACCATGAGTACCTGGCCCGGTGGAGGACTACACGCTTGGCTGAGTGGTCTCAGGCGCAGGCCTCCTCCTCTTTCAGCCACGTGAGCCCGGGGGCCCTGCTGTGCCCCAGGCCCTGAGGAACTGGTTCTGACATAGTGGCCACACCCCCGACTGCAGAGACCTGGCCTTTGGGGCAGTCACTGGCTATACACAGTGCTGCTGTTCAGAAGCCAACCCTAGAAATCCTCCCGAGAAGCCCTGGATGTCTCTCTGAGCTGTAGGAGCATCCATGCACATAGCTGCTTGCTGATGGGCATTTGCTACAAACGTGCCATCCCAGAGAGACTTCCCTCTGCCGCTGCCTTCTGTGCTGGGCATTTTCTCTGCAGTTCCTTCCTGCCAGTACTAGGCTGTCCCAGGTCTCTGTCCTTCCTGCCCCCACATCTCTGCAGCAAACTTTCCAGCCTGGAAGGTGCTGGGAGGGGCTGCCTCTCTCTCTCAGGCCGTGCCCTGCCCTGGAGGGGCAACAGGAGCAGAGGCCAGGCTGACCAGTCCTCTCCTGGCCTTGCAGGGAGACGGGCATGAAAGGGACCATCCTCACCAACGGCAAGCCCCGGGACCTGCGCAGCTTCCGGAAGGTGTCCTGTTACATCATGCAGGACCACATGCTGATGCCGCACCTCACCGTGCAGGAGGCCATGATGGTGAGCTGCCCCCTGTCCTCCGTGAGCGGAGCTCTGACACCAGCTGTTTGGACAGCTTTGTGGAAAGCAAACCTCTAGACCCTGGGTCCTCATAGACCCTGGATGGCCAAATCAAGGTGGAATTCCTGAGAAAGGTATTGACCCTACCGATGTGGTGGCCCTTTCCTAGGTGACCCCATTCCTAACCCCGTTAGGGCCAAGTTCCAGTCAGCCTGGTGCTGGAGTAGGTCTCTTCCTCCTCTGACTCACCGGGTGCTGCCCACCTTCTGGATCCCGGGCCCTGCACTTACAGAGCCCACAGTCCTCAGACATGAAATCCTGCAGAAGCATGGAGGGCAGCAGCCTCCAGAGTGAGCTGTTGGCCAGGGCATCCTGTACACTGGGGTCCAGAATGGCCTGGCCATCATGCTCTTTGAACAGACCAGGACCTCACCAAGTGCCAGGATTTTAAAAGGCCTCACCCACACCATCAGGGGTGGGTTATGCATCTTCATGGCTGCTTCCGACCCTCACAACCATAAGACTAACCAAGAAATGACACTTGGTGTCACCGGGCAAGCAGCTGGCCTGACTGAGCTGACCTAGGCCTGGCCCTGTCTGACTCCATGACTGAGGCCTCTTCTCCACTCTGCTCTGTTTCTCAGTCTGTCATCGATCCTCATGGCGACCTCACCAGCTCACTGGTGGGCAGGGTCTAACCTCATCATTGTGCCCGTGAGGAAACTGAGGTTCATTTCCTAAAGCCACAGAAGTCGCCAGGACAGAACCAAAGCTGAGCCTGGGCGTGGTGATGACTAGTCAGGGATTTCCCCGGTAGGGTCAGGGGGTCAGGGGCCCAGGGGGCCAGGGGGCCAGGGGGCCATGGGTGTGCTGGCCACCAGCATCTCAAACAAGACAACAACAACACCAGGGTCCTGATTTGTAAGCGCTTGCCAATCTATGTGGTGTAAATATTCCCAAATACTCCACGATGAGCAATGGATAGTTTTAAGCTATCAACGGTTTCACAGGTGGCTTGTGAAATTCCTAAATATGCACCACTGGTCTTCAAGCCCCCGAGGCCTTAGGGTTCCTTATCTCACAGTTGCCCACATCTAATTCCCCTCACAGACACCCTGCTGCAAATTCAACAGGGAGAACGGAAAGCACCCCAGACACGCACGGCTGTCCTAGACCCCGCCTCTGCTGAGCCAAGGGAGTGGGAAGCCACGACCTTCTCTGGGGGTTTTCCTGCAGCCACTAGGGCTCTGGCCTGTGGTGTGGCCTATGAGGTTTGCCCTGCCGAGGGCCATCTGTTCTGACTCCACCCTGTATCTATCCCTCGTCCCCTCCAGGTGTCCGCGCATCTGAAGCTCAAGGAGAAAGACGAGGGCAGAAAGGAGATGGTAAGTGTGTGCCATGGGGCCACAGGTGGTCCAGAAAGGGCATGAACTTGCATTTCGCAAACACACATGGGCGCGGGCGATGCTGGTTTGTGACTTACCTTCTGTGTGTAGGCGACGGTGTCACCTCAGGGTGCTGCGTTCTCGCTTGGCAGCCAGGACTGGCCGCTCTGCTGCCAGAGCCTTGACTCTCGTGTCCTGGCGCTGCCTTAGCAACAGCAAGGACGCAGCCTGAGCGCTCAGGTGGCCAGAGGGCCCAGCCTCGGTCAGCCCGGGCACGGCGTTTCTCTTAGTGCGGCACATGTTATAATAGTTGTTATAAAATATTAACAATGAAGGTGGTTAGTCACGCGTTTAAAAATAACCAGCCTCCACCCACACACCCTTGCAAGAAGACATTTGATTCTCACATGTTAATAACCAGCCTTTAAAAAGAATGAATTGACCAAGTTTCCAGGGTGAGCAGGCCATCTCATCCCTTTCATGGCTTTCTTCACTGCCCAGGGAACAGCGAGGGTGCTGGGTTAGCAGACCCGATGGGGACCACCGGGAAGCCCCACTGTGGGGGACGGGGGAGAGAAACCAATCCCAGGGAAACAGCTCCCCTCCTCTCCATCCTCCCTGAGCGCCGGTGGGATGCTCAGTATAGCATTTGGGGAAGTTCCGCCTATTATATACCATGTTGTCTGCTAAGGCCCTACAGGACCACAGCCCAACAGGGGAGGAGTAGGAGGCCCCTTCAGCCCCATGGTGTAACCTCCGCCACCGCCAGCCCCACTCTGGGCTTCCTCCGAACGGTGGGGAGGGAAGGCCGGGCCCCCTGCCTCTGGGCAGCGGAGGCGGAGTTAGAGGCTGCCTTTGGTGTGTCTGAGCTGCCGACAGGCGCAGCCCATGAATAAGTAGGCCATGGAGCTCTTCCCTCCAGCCTGGCCCGCAGGGACCCGCCTGCCATAGGGAGGAGGCACTGGGAGGAGAGGCAGCCTCTGCTGACCAGCTGGGAGCACCCTCGTGCTCCTCAGCTGACTTTCTATATCGAGGAGCACAGTCTGCCTCCCTTCGGCGTCCCGCACCTGCTCTGTCTGTTACATCTTGACCCTCAGAGGCAGCTCCTAGCCTCATCCCGGCGGCCGGCACCCTCTAAGCCAGCCTCACACGGCCCCGAAGGCAGGTGGGACCTGGCCTTCTGTCCCTGTTGCTGACGGATGCCCAGAGCGCAGGGACAGTGGGGTCTGGGGGGAAAGGCCACCGGAACCCTCTCTGTCTGCTCGGGCAGAAAGGACAGGCGCCTATGGCTTTCTTGGGGGGAATGGAGGGGAGGGGACCTCAGTATAGAATGTGGGGAAGTTCCGCCTATTATACACCATATTGTCTTCTAAGGCCCCTGTGGGACCACAGCCCAGCTGGGGAGGAGTAGGGGGGCCTTTCCGAGCGCTTGTCCTCCATGTCCCTGGCCCAACATGGGCCAGAGCAGATCCTCATGCTTGGGCCATGCACACGTTTACATTCGGCTGCGTTTACATGCATTGGAGGGGTGGGGGGGAGCGTACCCTGGACCGTGTGGCTGCATCATCCCCAGGGAGTGAGGGCCTCGCCCTTCTCCTCAGATCCCGCTGCTGCCGGATTAGCCAAGGCAGAGAGCCGCCTCTGCAGGGCCCACGGGTGTGCTTGGGCCCACCACACGTTTCTCACCAGGAGGCCAGGCCAGGCCGCCCATCACCCTCCTGGTCCCAGCCACACGCAGGGCCACGCCCACAGCCATCCTCTGGGGCAGCGGGTGGTTACTCTAAGAACGAGAAGCCGTCCCGTGCCCTGACTCACTTCCTCCGGCTCCCGGCGTGGAACACAATAGACGGGACGTCCTGGCGGAGAGGAAGGTGCCATCCGGCCCTTTCCCAGAAAGCAGCCTCGGCCTCAGAGCCTCCGGGAGGGGCCTTCCTCCGGAGCCAGTCCCAGGGCAGAGGTTGTTCTCTGAGTGGTTCTGAAGTAGAACTAACCTGCGGAGGGTCGCTCTCGGGAGCCCACTGAGAAATCTGAATGGGCGGGAGCCCACTGGATGGGTGGGAGAAGGGAAGGCACCAGCATTTGCCTCTCCACTTTCAGCCTCCCCCCCCCACTTTCAGCCTCCCCCCACTTTCAGCCTCTCCCCCACTCCCAGCCTCCCCTCCACTCCCAGCCTCCCCTCCACTCCCAGCCTCCCCTCCACTCCCAGCCTCCCTCCCCCTTCCAACCTCTCCTCCACCTCCAGCGTCCCCTCCACCTCCAGCATCTGCTCCACAGGGGCTGAGGGACACTTGGCCAGAGTAGTGAGCCTTCAAGGAAACAGATGGACGGGCACAGGGCATGTGCCATGTCTGTGATGCCCCAAAGGGAGCCTAGAATGACAGTGTGACTCCTCTGCTGTGACGTTGGCCTGTGGTCCTGCCTGCCCAGGGTGGACGTGTGCCCGGAAGAGCCGCCGCACCGGCCCCACGCCGATAGCCTTTTCTAGAGGGTGACCTCGCTGACCTTAGTTCTGGGTTGGTGTCCCCCAAAGGCCCGGCATTCTAGAGGAGGCAGAGGAGTGGGGCTTAGGAGTCAACGAGAGAGAGGATGAGCAGGATTCGAACCCAGGCCTGTCTGACCACCTGCTTCCCAGCCCATGGAGCTGAGGTGTCCTGCCACTTCCTGTCACCTAAGCCTAACTCTGACTGTGCGTAAGTGACAGTGCCAGTCCCTTCTCCTGTGCATGACCTCATCCCCAGAGAAGCTGCTGGGCTGGGTCCGCCCAGATGGACCCAGGAACCACCCTGGGCGGGGACGATGGCTGCACATTCAGGTGGGACCCTGGGAGGTGAGCCTGCTGAGGAGGCCGGGAGGCCGATAGCTGACCTTTGAGAAGATGCGGGGCCAAAATTGGCCCTGCTGTCTGCCTCTCAGCCTGCTCACCCTCTGTTCCCTGATTGAGCCAATGTGAATCAGTAATCCCATCTGACAGGAGGGCTCAGCCACAGTACACTGTTTGTGTCTCAGTGGGCCCGAGTCTCAGGGGGACAGAGGGACTGCTGGGGAGGGACTGGCTGCCTCAAGCCGTTTTATCGTCTTGCTGCCCCTTCAGAGACATTGTTTTCCTATTGACAAGGGCCAAGGGCGCTCCATCCCATCTCTCTGAGAGGCTGACCTGGGTGGTGTGTCTACAGCAGCTGCCATCAACTAAATGTTCACGCCTGCCAAGCCCTTTCACTCATTACCTCATTTCCCCGCCTTGGTGGCCACCCACGTGTCCGCCAGTCTACCTTTCCACAGATGCTCACTGGGCCCCTCCCTGACCAGGCCCTGAGCCAGGCTGACAGGTGAAGGTCAGGACAGGGGGCAGGACAGGGACCCTGTCCAGGCAGGTCTGGCTTTACCACTGCTTCAGCCTCCCAGGCCGAAATGAGGACCTTGGACTTGGACAAGGCAGCCTGGGATGGGTGCTGCATGGGTCGGTGTGTGCTGGGAGTGGGTGGGGGAGGCAGCAGGCGTCCACGTGGTGCTGGAGGTGGCGATGTGTGGTGGAAGGCCGCTGATGGCTGCTCTGGCTCTGCTCCTCCCTCCAGGTCAAGGAGATCCTGACGGCTCTGGGCTTGCTGTCTTGTGCCAACACGCGGACCGCAAGTCTCTCAGGCGGGCAGCGCAAGCGCCTGGCCATCGGTCTGGAGCTGGTGAACAACCCTCCCGTCATGTTCTTTGATGAGCCAACCAGGTACTCAGGAGCAGTGCAGGGGAGACCCCCTGACCTCTGGGCCCGCAGATTTTAGGGGGGGCCCTACTGTAGCTTCAGAAGTGGGAGGTGTGTGTCCTGCCTGCCCCATCTTGTTCTCCTATTTTGGGGTCCCAGGGCAGAGGCCTTACTTGCCCCCACTCTCCCTGTCTGAGACTAAGAGACACCCATGGGCTTGGACTTGCACACGGACCCACCCTGTGCACGTTGAATGTGGGCATGGTTTGGGGCGGCGGGGGCGGGTTCCTGCAAACGTCTCATGGTGCCCCTTGCCTTGCAGCGGCCTGGACAGCTCGTCCTGCTTCCAGGTGGTCTCCCTGATGAAAGGGCTGGCGCAAGGAGGGAGGTCCATCATCTGCACCATCCACCAGCCCAGCGCCAAGCTCTTTGAGCTGTTCGACCAGGTACACAGACCCCGCTGGGATCAGCCCCGGGAACCTGAATTCTGGTACTCAGCTTCCCCTTAGTTCTCGGGGTTGTCTTCAGTGTTGAGCGGCCTTAGTGTTACGTTTCATGAGATGTAGGAACCATGAGCCACTAAGGAAGGGGTAGAAGGGCTGGCCAGTGTCTGCGCTGGGCTCTTGTGTGGCCATGGGGACTTGCTGAGTCCCTGTAGCCATTGCCGAGTCTTCAGGTTGCAATGGGGAAATACCCGTTTTACTGAATTAAGTGACAGATTACTTTATTTGTACAGACAGTCATTGGGTTATGTCGAGCTCAACAGACTTCATTTTGTTATTACGTCACCATCTTCCATTTATTTATTTTTTAAAAAGTTCTGTCATTTCAACCTATGAATATATGTACTTTATGTTTTTTTATTATTTTTTACTACAAGTAAAGGTCAGGAATTGTTATTTTATTTTATTATTATTTTATTTATTATTATTTTTTTTTTTTACTGTTTCACTTCATCACTACTGAATATGTGCTCCATGTGAGTGACGTAGGTGCTTGTGTAGGTGGGTTCCTGACACAACCCAAGGACTGACTGTATAATATATTTTATAAATCTTAGGTTTTGATAATATGAGAGAGAGAAAAAATCCCAAGGGTTGAAATGTGTAAGCTCATGAATCTTTCCCAAGCAGGTGGTTAGTTAGTTAGTTAGTTAGTTATTTAGTGTGCAAAAACAATGTAAGAAAATAACTCAGGGCCTCATAATAGCCTCAGTTTTCCCTGACTCACCATGAATTTCCCTGTGAACTTCAACAGAGTCTGAAGGAGAGAGAGAGAGAGAGAGAGAGAGAGAGAGAGAGAGAGAGAGAGAGAGAGAGAGAGAGAGAGAATAGGTTTATAGATAGGTGATAGATAGATAGATAGATAGATAAGATTTGGTTAAGTGAATGGATGGAGGGTGAATGGGTAGATGGATGGATGAGTGGGTGATATAGATGGGGGGATAGGCAGATGAATATATGGATAGAGGAATGGAAGGATGAAAGGGTAGATGGATGGGTAGGTTGGTGGAGGGTGGGTTGGTGGATGGGTGGGTGGGTGAATGAATGGGCAGGTGGATGGATAGAAAGGTGCAAGGGTGGGTTGGTGGATGGATGGATGGATGGATGGATGGATATGTGGATGGGTGGTAGGTGGATGTAGGAGTGGAGGTGAAAAGGTGGTGGATGGTGGATGGATGGTGGATTGATGGATGGACTGGTGGGTGGGTGGATGGGTGGTGGATGGATGGGGGAGTGGAGGTGTGGTTGAGTAGGTGGTGGGTGGGTGGATAAATGTTGAGAGCATGAGGGCAGACAGGGTTGATGTTTACCTATCCTTGCTTTTTTCCAGCTTTATGTTCTTAGTCAAGGACAGTGTGTGTACCGGGGAAAAGTCTTGAGTCTTGTCCCATACTTGAGGGAATTAGGTCTGAACTGTCCAACCTACCACAACCCAGCTGATTTCAGTAAGTATAACCTTGACTGGGAAGGAAAAGAAAGGGTTTTTTGTTTGTTTGTTTGTTTGTTTGTTTGTTTGCCACTCCTGGTGGATTTTCACTTTACCAGGGGCCCTCGGTCAGGGCTTCGTGAATAGTCCACAGATGGCTTAAGTGCCATCATCCCATGGTGGAACTTTAAAGGACAGAGAAAAAGAGGTTGTTTTCCCTCCAGACAAAATGACCAAAAAAAAGGAGGGGGCGGGAAGCTGTTGTTAGGAGCAATATTTTCTAACATCTCTTGTGTTAGTCCCAGGTTAAAGGAAGTTCTTTCTAACAAGAAATAACCTTGTGGCCCCATCACTCCAATCTCTGACTCTGCTTTCATGTGGCTTTTTTTGCTGTGTGTCTCTGTTGTTGGGTTCAGGGCCCATCCTAACTCCAGATCCATCCTATGGGTCTTTCACCTCAAGACCCATAACCACTTACATCTGCAAAAACACATTTGTCAACTATGTCATATTCTGCGGTTCCAGGTGGACGTGACTATTTGGGGTATGCTATTCCACCCACTGCAACCCTCCTGGTCATCAGCACTTCTCATTCAATTGCTTTTCTTTCAAACATCTGGCCACACTCCCAGGATTTCGTACTTCCTACAGCATCATCTCTCAAGTTATGTTCCATAAGACACTGTTTCTGGGAAATACTTCTTTTCTTGAGCGAGAGTGTGGGAAAGGGAACGTGAAGGGAACAGCCAGCTTTGCTTAAAGGCAGTGGGACCAAGTCTGGTTTATAGTCACAAGAGAGAAGCATGGTTGGGGAAAGGTGTGCTGATTAGGGGAGGATGGTGAGGTCCAAGGCCTGCAAAGAGGTGAGAAACTAGATGGACAGGAAGAGAAATAGGGTCCATGCAACCTCTGGGAAGTTCTAGAAATGTCAGGGCATGGCTTCTCTCTCCTCCACGTCACCCAGAGGGAGGACTGGAGTGCACAGAGAATGGCGTTTAGCGAGGGGTGGGTGTGAGTGACCAGCAGAGCACACAGTGCTGAGCCCATGTGGCCTCCTTGATGAAAATGGGCCATCGCATCCTGGTTTATGAAAGGTGAGGCAGATGGTCCCAGACCTCAATGACCCCAGGGTGCCAAGCACTCCTCAGGCCCTGCCCACCCCTTTTTCCACGGTCCCACTGAACCGTCACAGCTCTCATCACTCATGGCCAATCCCACGTGCACAATGCAAGCTCTCTAAACAGAAATCCTGTACTATCTAACTCATCTTCCAGCTCTACTCTAACGCTTGGATGCCCGTAGGAGGCATTCAATAACTCTGGATAGATGCCTAAGTTCATAGAGAATGAGCTAATTATTTTCATTCCCAGGCTCCTGACATGAGACATGACCTTGCTGGGGGTTTAGAGCTGAAAGAACATTGGTAGCTACATGATTTGACCATATGACAGTGATCATGCCCTTGTATACAATCAGTTAAAAATATTCCTGCTGGATTCATGGCTATGTAGTTGCAAAAACGAATGAGGCCCACAGTTCACATTGGCGGTCTCAGGCCGTGATCGCAGGTTTGGCTGACACGCCCGTGTCTCATGCAGTCATGGAGGTGGCGTCCGGTGAGTACGGCGATCAGAACGGCCGCCTGGTGAGAGCCGTTGATGAGGGCCTGTGCGACGCTGACTGCAGGAAAGAGCCTCCTGCGGGGGATGGCGAGGTGAACCCCTTCCTCCAGCACCAGCCCTCTGAAGAGGTAAAGCCAGCCAAAGGATGGAAGGGGCGGAGAAAGGTAACTCCACCCCCAGCCCGGGAGAGCCCTCATTGCATTTTGCTCCTTGCGGCTCGTTGCTCTTCCTTAGCCTTGAGGAACTGGGTCATGGGGTTGGGGGTCTCACCTTCTCTCCCTTCTTGGTGTGTCCTCAGAATTCCACTTCCACGGAAAGCTGCCACAGCGTCTCCGCCAACTGCCTCACCCAGTTCTTCATCCTCTTCAAGAGGGCCCTATTGACTACCGTGAGGGATTCGGTAAGCATGTCTACAGTCGCCTCTGGTGGCCAAGGAAGCTGCCGGCATTTCCGGTGTATCTGTCCTGACTGCCTTCCCTCTATTTGCATCAGTCAGCATTCACTCTGCGATGCTGCTGTAACAAACACTCCCTCATATGCCAGCGACTCTGACAGTAAATATTTGTGTTACCGGTTGGTTGGCTGAGCATTATAACTCTGCCCCCTGTTTCTTCTCATCCTGGGACTCAGAATGGAAGGACAGATCTTTTCTAGAATGTGACAGAGGGAAAGTGCAAGGGAGAAATCAAATGTAAAACTTCTGGTGGCAACTTGTCACTTGTGCTCACATTCCTCTGGCCAAAGCAAGTCATATGGCCATGCATGTCGTCAGAGAGTGCACTTCTTCCTCAGGAAAGCACAGCAATGCATAGGGCACTGGGGCTGTGTGGAGGCTTATTGGGAAGGAGGTGTTGAATGGTTGAGAAGCAGACTAACATCCACCTTTAAGGTGGACAACCTGACAGCCTGTTGTCAGGGTCCGGCTCCGGTGCTCAGTGGGCCCTGGGACCTAGTTTGAAAAATGGAAGGGCTTATAGCAACCCATGTCACAGCTCTTCAAGGGTGGCCTCTGATATATTCATCCTTGGTTCCTTTCTCCACCATCGCTGTCACTTGTCCTCTCCTCTGAAGGCAGACTGACCTTGCTTGCAAGTTTTGAGCAAATCTGTTTTAACAGCAATAAAAGGCTGCCTCCCTTATGCATGTGTGTGAGTTGGTTTAGGGTTGGAGGTTGGTTTTTATGGAGGAAAAGGGCGGCATGAAGCATGAGATCTGCCATGGACCAGGTCTCCAGAGGCCTTGGACCTGTTGTTCCGTCTCTGCCCCATCCCCCACTTCCAGGCGAGTGAGTAACAGCCAGGTCTGCCCCCAGGTCTTGATGCACCTCCGAGTCACCTCGCATATTGCCATTGGCCTCCTCATCGGCCTGCTCTACTTGGGGATCGGGAACGAAGCCAAGAAGGTCATGAGCAACTCCGGCTTCCTCTTCTTCTCCATGCTGTTCCTCATGTTCGCGGCCCTCATGCCCACCGTGCTCACGTGTGAGTGCCTGACGGGCCACAGACCCTCCTCTCCTTCCTCATCTGTCATTCCAACCCCCAAACTGGGCACCGAGGTCATGGCTTGGCCAAGAAGGGAGTTTTCTGAACATATGTCTTGCTCTTAAAAGATATTTGAGGCCTAATGCATGAAATTCATGCATGGAGGGGGTATGGTGTCCCTCAGCCTAGCCTGCACCCTCTCCACATGGGGGCAGCCATCTTTGACCATATGGGGGTGGCCATCTTGTGCATTGGAGTGACAGTCAATTTGCATATTACTCTTTTATTAGTTAGGGTAATATTCTTTGTAGACAGATGCAGGTATTGTTGTATTTTCTGTTAGACAAGAAAATGCAGAGCCTGTTTAAGCCACAGGATGGAAGGCTTTCACAGGGAGGAAGGCTGATGGGAGAGATTTCTAAAGAGGTTTTCTAATCAGGAGATTAGACAGCCCCGATCCAGCCAAGTTTGGAAGGGGACGAAGCCATTCTGGATAGATTTCCATGCAAGTCTAGGTTGCTTGCAGAGTCACGTGGGGCTGACAGTGCAGACAGCCTTGCTTCTGCAGGATGCCAGCATGAAGCTCCTCCCTCAATTGCCTGGAATTTCCAAGACCTCACACGCGGTCTTGTCCGTGGGAAGGAATCACATTGTCACAGTTAATGAGTGAGAATCAGTTGAGCGATAAGTGTTTTATTAATCGCTAAAATAACACTCCTATTTATTATTGCATGGATATCCTCCCCGCGATGAGTCCTCGGGTTATGAAAATGGATGGCGGTTTTCCTAGGCTAGTGAATCGGTCCTTATCTTCCCACCCAAACCCTGAGCACCGGGATGTTGAAAGGCCCACGTCTCGGCACAGGCCGGGTTGTCGAGCCAGCCTTTGGCACGCTGGGTATGTCTGCTTGACGCCTCCTCCGTTTTCCTGCCGCCTAGTTCCCCTGGAGATGGGCGTGTTTCTGCGGGAGCACCTGAATTACTGGTACAGCCTGAAGGCCTACTACCTGGCCAAGACGCTGGCCGACGTGCCCTTCCAGGTACGTCTGGGAAGGGGTGTGCTGGCGGAGGGGCAGGAACTCGCCTCGGACCCTGCAGACCCGGGTGGGAGATGGCGAGTTCCACGAGAGGCTGATGGACCCTATGTTCCCAGATCATGTTCCCGGTGGCCTACTGCAGCATCGTGTACTGGATGACCGCGCAGCCAACCGACGCCGTGCGGTTCGTCCTGTTCGCTGCGCTGGGCACCATGACGTCCCTGGTGGCGCAGTCCCTGGGCCTCCTGATTGGAGCTGCCACATCCCTGCAGGTACCAGCCAAGGAGATGCCTCCCTGCCGCCCTGGGGGACTCAGCACGGCCTGCTGCTCCTCCTAATCCTGCCCTAACTTCCTAGATCAGCTTCTCCAGGCCAGGGTTTGGGTCAGGATGCAGTGTCCTGGCTGGTCACTATTGGCACCTCGACAGCAGCAGGTGCCCGGATGTGGCGCTTAGTGTATGCCAGTGCTGTGCTCAGCGCTTTCCACATAATAGCTCATTTAGTCCCCAGCACACCCCTGAATTAGATGCTGTGCTATCCCCATCTTACAGGTGCAAACACTGAGGCCCAGAGAGGCAATGCGATTTGGTGGGGGTCACACAGCTGGCTCAGAGGTCAAGCTCTTGATGCCTGGCTTTTGTTGCCTCAGGGGATCCACTGGCCCATCCCTCCAGCCTCCTCCATTGCACCCCACATTCCCACCCCATCTGAGTCCCTCCACGTGCCCCTTCCAGACTCCTGGTCCCACCCCCACACAAACACATGTGCATTTGCCGTTTCTGCACCACGTGACTTCAGGAAGGTCAGGCCAGGCCTTTCCTTCACAGCTAAGCCGGAACTAGGGTAAATCTCGCACCAAGAGCCGGCTGCTCACTCCCCAAACCAGACGCTTCTCCATGCCATCTGGCCCGTGATGACCCATCCTGAAAACCGGTCCTTTCTTAGCGGTCCCGGGGACTGTCCAGGAATATGTCCTCCAGGGGCCACCTGCAGAGGCAGTTGAGCGGGACTGTAAGTTCTCTCTGTGTCCCCCCAGGTGGCAATCTTCGTGGGCCCCATGACAACCATCCCCATCCTCCTCTTCTCAGGATTCTTCGTCAGCCTTGGCACTATCCCAACCTACTTGCAGTGGATGTCCTACATCTCCTACGTCAGGTAGCGTGTGTGCGTGCGTGCGTGTGTGCGTGTGTGTGTGTGTGTATGTGCGTGTGTGTGCATGTGTGCGTGTGTGTGTGTGTGTGTGTGTGCGTGTGCATGTGCGTGTGTGATGGTCGTGGTGGGGGGGACCCTGTATAACTTGGGGCCTTCACAGTGACAGAGGGAAGTCTGCAGATGCTCACCAAAGCCACATCTTGGCTGTCAGCTAAATGCCGACACCATTCCTTTATCACGGTCGCAGAGGATCAGTGCAGTTAGTTTTGTCCTGGTTTTGTGTGTCCCGCCCTCACCAACACACACAACGAGGGTAAAATAAGTACTAGCCGCTCGTACCCTGAGGAGCCCAGGTGGGCCCGTTGTCTGGCCCTTTGGAGATCTGCCTGGAGAGAGGGGTGGCGGGGGCGTTCCCACCTTTAGGTACTTCATTCCTCTCTGAAATAAACACATTCCTGAATATAATAAATCCTAATAAGAAATCTGGTGGAATATTTAGAAAAAAACAATAACAAAAAAACAACAGTGTGGCTCAGGGGTTGAGCATTGACCTATGAACCAGGAGGTCACAGTTTGATTCCCAGTCAGGGCACAGGCCCGGATTGTGGGCTCGATCCCCAGTAGGGGAGGCAGCTGATCAATGATTCTCTCTCACCATTGATGCTTCTATCCCCCTCTCCTTTCTTCTGTGAGATCAGTAAAAATATATTAAATTAAGAGTCCTCTTCCCTCTGTCACTGTGAAAAAAAAAAAAAAAAGGAATCCAGTGGGAAGTGGGTCATGACTAAAACACCCTAACACCTTTGGACACGAGTATTCTGGTGCATGGGCGCTGGGTCCAGCTGCCTGCTCCGCGCCCAGGGGCCGTCTGGCACGTAGGCCTGCGGGCTGCACTTGTCTCCAGTGCTTTTTGATTTGGTGACACGCAGATCCCACCTCGGAGCAAGCTTTTCTTTCCTAGGATGTCAGGTCAGACCAGGTGTTTTGTTCTGGAAACAAAGCCCTTGTCCAGAGTTTCAGCAGCTTGTGCGTGTGCCAACGCCGGGAAACCCTACCCCGTGCCTTTCTCCCCAGAGTTAGCGTTTTCCTTCCGACAATGTAGGGCTGGCGGGGCACCGTGGAGGGGGCAGAGCGTGTTTTGTTAGGTGCTGCTTGGAAGGCTCCCAGACATTCTATTATATCAAACTTTTATTTTTTAAAATATATTTTTATTGATTTTTTTTTTTTTTTTAACGGAGAGGAAGGGAGAGAGATAGAGTCAGAAACATTAATGAGAGAGAAACATCGTTCAGCTGCCTCCTGCAACACACCCACACACACCCCTACTGGGGATGTGCCCACAACCGAGGCACATGCCCTTGACCGAAATCAAACCTGGGACCCTTCAGTCTGCAGGTTGACACTCTATCCATGGAGCCAAACCAGTTAGGGCTATATCAAACTTTTTAAAAGTATGTACCAACAGAAGTAATCCGAGTGGATTTCAATTCATTTCCCTGATCGAATCCCTACGATTAGTTTCGTTTGGAGGAAATGAAACGGGAAAAACGTAGTGAAGCTGCCTGTGCGATCATCTCAGGGATGCTGGGAGATTAGGAAGTATTTTGTGGGGCGAGGGAGGGGAGAGGAGCCGACTGGGACCTCGGGGAAGGTGAAGGGTACTTTGCCCTGGGCACACGGAGGCAGAGTCAGGGACGATGGTGAGGGCGTCTGGTGGCCTGGACAGAGCCTTCCCCACACCGGCGCTTTCCCCCGCAGGTACGGGTTCGAGGGGGTCATGCTGTCCATCTACGGCATGGACCGTGCGGACCTGCACTGCGACGTCGAGGAGACCTGCCACTTCCAGAAGTCGGAGGCCATCCTGCGGGAGCTGGACGTGGAGAACGCCAAGCTCTACATGGACTTCATCGTCCTGGGCATCTTTTTCATCTTGCTGCGCATCATCGCCTACTTCGTCCTGAGGTACAAAATCCGGGCCGAGAGGTAGAGCTCCCGACTGCCGGCAGACAGGAGCGTCGGACACCGCCGCCAGGGCAGCTGGCAGGATCCTGGCGGCCAGCCTGTGCCCGAGGACCCGGGATGACTATGACCCGGCCCCTGGCCACCACGTCTGGCTCTGTGGGTGCCACGCGCTGGACAGCTCTGCCCTGGGGGACAGGTCTTCTCTCCATTACCCTTCCCAGCTTTACCTAGGAAGAAGATGTAGAAAGGATAATTTTTCATGTGCAGAATGTAAAACGCCCACTTCCGGGCCAGCGTGGCGACCCGCAGCAGAGCTGGTGACGAGGCGTCCCTGGCCACACCTTCCTCAGGGCCAGGTAGCTTTGGCCCCTGGCGGGGGCCGCAAGCAGCCCCCATGACCTGATCACACCGCACAGGAGGTGTCCTGGGAGCGAGGCGGAGAGGACACTGGTTCTGTTTTATGACCTGTTTTTCATAGTTTTCCTGTTTCTACAGTGTGTCTCTTTTTCCAACGGGAAGTCGCTTCCCAAGCCAAAGGCCTGTGAATGTCGTTCATTTTAAGAAGCGGAGTCTCTTCCGCCCTGTGGGGAAGTGCTGTGCAGGGTGACCCGACTTCGCTGACAGACAGAACCCGGGAAAGGTGCAGGGGCAGGCCCCCCGTGGAGAGCCTGGGGAACTGTATGCGCGAAGCTGGGCGGACGTTTTTAAAAGTTACCCAAAGAGTGGGAAGGCGAAGTTGGCCAACTCTCCCCCAGTCTTCTGTTTCCCCCGTGCTTCTTATTTTAAGCAAAATATATTGTTTCTTTCCTCCTAGCTTTCTGAGCACTTTAATTTTTGGTTGTGGTTAATCCTCACCCGAGGATATCTTTCCACTGATTTTCAGAGAGAGTGAAAGGAAGAGGGAGAGACAGAGAGAGAGAGAAACATCGATGTGAGAGAGACACATCGATGGGTGGCCTCCCACACACATCCCAGCCAGGGCCTGGCATTGAGTCTGCAACTGAGGTGCATGCCCTTGATCAGTCGACGGGCCAACGCTCTAGCCACTGAGCCAAACCAGCTGGGGCTGAGCACCTTAATTTTGCCTAAAATATTCTAGGAGACCCACCTGTTGAGTTTTTACAAGCATTTTCCCTTTCTTCATCTATCACATCAACTACCTCCACTGAAGCTGGGCTGAGGGACACCCAGGGGTGAACACTGAGAGATCCCGGGTGCAAATGTGAAAGATAAGAGCTGACTGCCTGAGATGGAAGCTGCTGAGACCCCATTAGAACCCAAGGCCCTTGCAGGCCCCCGGATTCTGAGTGTGGCCCGGTGATTCTGGTGGCAGCTCGGCCGTACCACCCTGTCAGTGTTTGGTTTGTGCAGCCGTCTTCCCAGTGACGTCACCAGACGCGTCGATCTCTCTAGGGCAGGAGCCGTGGTATCTGCAGGGCGACAGCCTTTGGCTCCCTGCCAGAGCTCCCGGGTGCCTGTCCGCCCCAGCAGTGTAGTATCCACAGGGTACGAGGTGCCTCTGGCCAAACAGGGTCTGAAGGAAAATGGCGTTGCTTTCCCTTTAAGACCATCACTGTCCCAGAATCAGGGTCCCCTGACGAGAGATTGTACGTTTGTGGGCAAAAGACGCATGAACCCCTCGGACCCTCAGTGTCCTCTTCTGGACCCTCAATGTCCTCTTCTGGACCAGCACTAGCTGGTCTTCAAGGCCACTTCAGCTCAGAGATCCCTCGGTTCTGTCCCCCAACGCGTATTGCCCACTTTGAGAATGAGGAGAGTTCAGTTTTTACCTGCACACGGATTTGATTTGTCGATGCTTAGGGACCTCCTTTCCACCGGTAGACCCTTTTTAGTAAATGAACACAAATCCAGGGGTACTATCGTATAATTTTAAACCCACCTGTCCCACACACATAGAGCAGCATTGCCTCCCAGGCCATGCTACTCAACCAGGGTCAAACTCGGCCTCTGCACCAAGACAGATTAGCCCGTGAGACACCACACACAGGAAGATGCGCCCAGGGACAGCTTTGCGGGGCACAGAGTTGGGGAGAGGAGAGAGTCCTCAGTCTCACCCCAGAATCTCATCAGGTGAGGTCAGTGTTCCAAGGCCTCTTCCCCTCCACGTCAGCCCCTGGGCTGTGGCTCGGTGATCCTACAAGGACATACATGCCAGGAGCTGCGCTGAGAGTCAACCATCTCATCTGCAGAGCCATTCTCTGAGCCAGCAGTGTCCCGTCTCAGCCATTGCAGAAGGAGACCGCGAGATTCCTTTAGACTCCCAATCTCATCTCCAAGCGCACCCAAGCCCGCAGAAGGAATATTTCCATAGGAGCGCATGCTCCCTGCATTTGTCTTTTGCTGTTAGCTCATCTGACAGGCGTCTTCAAACTACGGCCCGCGGGCCACATGCGGCCCGCAGAGGAGTCTGATCCGGCCCGCCAGGTTTTTTGGGCAGTGAGCGCAGCCGAGGTGTTACAGTAGGAATTAGTAGTTCATATAGTCCGGCCCTCCAGCTCTCTGAGGGACCGTGATCTGGCCCCCACTTTAAAAAGTTTGAGGACGCCTGCATGAGCAACTGATTGAGCTTCACCCTCCCCCACCCCAACCCACCCCCCGTACCCGGAGGCAGATCTTTGGGGATGAGAGGGCTGTCGGGTGCTAGAAGGGAAACGGTGTGCATAATGACCAGGCTATTTTTTGAAGGATACTCAGTGGGGTGTCGCAGGTGTACTGCCAGCACCCAGGATATTTGCCTGGGAAGACCTAAAGCTGTGGTGCGTGAGTGGGGGTCACCCCTAGGGTGCTGCTGCCTTCGCCCCAATTCAGCTCTCAGCGAGTGCCCTCCATTAGAAACGGGCGCCCTCCAGGGCAGGCAGGCAGCAGGGGCGGGGGGTGGGGGAGAAGGGGGCCATGGCCAGGCGCTCCAGACATTTCAACCGCAGGGCACCGAGGCTGGCAGAAGGGCGGGAAGGTCCCGGGTCCCAGAACCGGGAAAGAGTGGAATTTGAGTCCCAGTGTGGCCCCCAAATCTCCATTTCTTTTTTTCTTTCTTTGCCCCCCTGCCTCCTGTTCAGAGTGTACAGATGTGTGTGACCATGTCTTATGAGGATAAAATGCAATGCTAGCGTAGGGGCTATTCATTCTGGACTTCCTCTCAGCAAATGGATAGCGGAGATGGGAGGGTGCCCATGCCCCTCCCCTCCAGCCGCCTTGCCCAGGGGCGTCCCGAGCTGGCTTGGGGCTGAGCCTCCTTGGTCCTGGGTAGGCTGTGCCTCCCTCTGCCCTGGCCCAGCCTTGGCCTCCTCACGCAGCTCGCTGTGGGTGAGCTTGGGCAGAGAGGGGCTGCCGTGTGTGGTACGCACACCGACACGCACACGCTCACGTGCTCACGTGCAGGCGTGTGCCAGGCTGTGTGTCACAGTATTACTCTGTGGTGTTTCCTTCACCCATGAATCCTCAATCCCCCTTTACTCCGAGAAGAAGAGAAAACATTCCCTCGCTTCCCGCCTGCCACCCAGATGGTAGAGCAGGGCCCGAACCACGAGGAGGTCACCGTTGCCAGCTGAGTGGCAGTGTGACCAAAAGTAAAACAAAACAGCTTGGAGAGGGACAATGCAGAGTGTATGAATATAAAGTTAGATACTGCCGAGAAATGACGACTACTAATAAAATATTTTATATAAAGCTTTTTTTTTTTTATTGTTCACGGTTAAATGCTTCAAATACAGAATGATTCGCTTGGATTTGGCCAAGTGAAATGGACCTTGAGGTTGTGTTGTGAATCCATTGGCTGCACTCTTAGGAAGAATTCGGGTTCATTACTCAGTGTTCCAGTCTGACCCCTATTGCAAAGAGTCGCCCTCCTCTCTTGAGAACGTGCATTGAACTGTTGTAAAGTTTTCCAAGTTTCCCCCATCCTCCCAGGCCTGGCTCTCACTTTTCCACCTTGTTAATGTGGGCCATGACCTCAGAAGGTGCCACGGCCCCAAGAGCCTGGCGTGCCCCCTCACCCCCAGCCTTCCCTTCCATCCCCTTCAGCCTAGCAGTGGTCTTCATGGACACGGTCTCTGTGGACACGGTCTCCATGGGCACGGGCTCCAGGCAGAGGGGCAGCCTCCTTCGTTGCTCTGGGGTCTGACCCGTCTCAGGCTGCGGCCTCTGTATGGGGCGGCTCCAGGGAGCACCCCCCAGAGACTGGCCCCAGTGGAGCTGAGCAGCACCCAGAGGAGCCTGGAGCTGCAGCAGCAGGAGCTCCCAGGACTGCGCTGTGGCCGGAGTTTGCAGGCAGCGGAGCTCTGGCCTCAGTGGTCACCCTGGCCTCCCTCCCTCCTGGGACAGAGAGAGAGCAGGCCCTTACGAAGCACAGACTGGCCCCTGCCGCCCTCCTACGTGACAGGAAGAGAGAGGTGGTGAACTCAGGGGGAGAGCACCCTATAAGGGACGAGCTGGTGATGGCAATGCCTGCGACCGAGCCCCCTGCCTCTGCAAACCCTCCTCGGACCAGAGCACGTCACAGTCCCTCTGGGTTACTGCACGTGGCCTCTCACATCAGGGAGATTCCTCTGGGATAATTCTCGGGCCTCCGTGGGGCCAGGAGCAGGGGAGAAGCGGGGCGCCCCCAGGCCTGGCACACGCATTTCACACTGGCAGCCTGTACTCACCCCATTGCCTCCTGGGCGGGAAGACAGTGTGAAGAACTTGGGGGACCTTGTAAGCCTCCTGCTGCTACCTTTCCTGATGGCGTTACGTGCGGCGGGGGCCCAGGTGAGCTGGGCAGAGATGCCGAAGCCTGAGGCGCAAGCATCTGAGCGGTGAGGGGTGACCGCCCCCTCTCTGGCCTGCCTGCGCCATTCTCCAGTTCCCTGAAGAGTGTCCCTTGAAGGAGATCTCGGGAGGGGGGTGGCTCTTGCTGCCAGCACCTGAAGTGACTTATTGTCCTTGCACTTCACCTGCTCTGAGGCCTGGCCCACACCTGCCCTTCCTCCGGGCACAGCTGTGGGTCAGCACAGGGAGCTTTCCAGAAAACAGCCTTTGCCAAACGGGGCTTTGCCGGAGCGCCAGGCACACCCACCGCTGGGGGAGTTACCAAACCCTCTCCCCTGTGCACCCCCATGGCCCTCTCCTGCCGGGGGACAGATCAGGCCCCGCGGAGAGGCAGGAACAGTGACCGTGGGGGCTGTTTTGTCATAGGGCCTTTGCAATCTTTACAGCTCCATCCGGGGCTCCCAGGGGTCTCTGTCCCACGGCTTTGGGAAGCACAGACTGCCCCGGCTTAACCGGAACTGTCTCCTCTTTCCAGTCCTCAGCCCATTAAAACGGTGGGCAAGGTCGCGCCGTTCAAATGGCTCGTCACATCCACCACCAACCCCACAAAGGAGGTTTCGTTTTCACAGTCACCATCCCCGCGGGAGGGGTCTGGGGAGGGGTATCTCGGCAGAACGTGTACGTGTGGGAAGTTAACCTGTGTCCCCCGCGGCCCTCCGCTGTCTGCGCTCCCCGTGTGGCTGGTGGGCACAGCCCCCGCCGACTGTGGCTGAGTCTGTTGTGAATCGTTGCCGTGGATGAGCAGCCATTTCAATGTTTTCCCTTTGTTCTTCCTTCCAAAGCAAGAGTCAATGCAAGTAACCTTTTTTAACCAGCGTGCAAACATGTGCACACGCCTGTCTGTGTAACATAGGATTATGGAAGCCCTGTTTTGTATAAGACTGTAAGCGTAACTTCACTTCGGTGTAGCCATGTTCTCTAGGAAATGGAGTTGCTTGCGCGCTATGAGAGGTGGCCACTGTTGTAGGTAAACTCGGCATATATAC